CTTAATACTTGCAGAACATTAATCGAGCAGTGTTCGTTGGCAATTTCTTTCGGAACAATGCAATTTCGATGAGGCTTCTGGCGTATGCTTTGGACTACTGGTCGAAGGGACAGTTAAAAGCACTTTTCTTGGAACATGGGGTGAAATTGCTTTTTCAATTTCTTTTGTCTCACGTGAAAAGCAAAACCCTTCGTACGCTCTGGCAACAGCTGTCTGGGGCCTGCAGCTGCTGCCGATGCACCTTGTGCAGGCGGTTCCTGGTGCTTTGTTGCTGCAGCCGCAGTTACCACAGTGCCCGCTGCAGGGTCGGAAAAACGGGGATATTGTTCCAGTAGCCAATACCGGAATTGTTTACCACCAAGCTCATCTTGCTCATGAGCTTTCTTTTAAGTCTGTTGACGGTAGAGATGATTCTGCGCGGCTCTGCTTTCCGCGACAGCGATTGCAGTGAAAATCTGGTTTGTAATGTACCTACCTGTAGTTATTTCTTCCCACCATCTTTCATAAGTTGTTCAAATGCCACTGTAGGTGTAATAGTCTTGTTCTTGTGTCGGGTGTGTGCCGATGTTTGCTTTTTCAGTAGATAACTCTGGTCTGTTTGCTCTTCAGGGTTATTTTGGCGCAGTTGGTGCTCTTCTGGAACTCCTGGATTCAGCCTGACTAGGCGCAGATTCCATGCGGGGGACCTACGAAGTTGGGGCGCTTCCTGGGTCACAACGCCCACGTTTTCGCTTCAAAGCATCCGTTCACTGACTCTTAAATAACTGCGGGTGACCTGATCAGAAGAAAGACTGTTGTGTTTGTGTCTGTAAACAGTTGAAACCAATCTTCAGTTACAACGCAGGTTTCTTCAAAAGGAGTATATGTGCCAGTGCGCTGACCGGAGGTGGCGGTTGTACGTGGAACATCTGTAGGTCACTTAGTTGCTGACAGCAAATAGCCGGTTTATGTAATCTAATACATATGTTTAATGGTGACAGAATAGCAGACTTGCGCTTTGTTCCCTCCATCAGGATTCCTTTGAGCGCTGGATGTCTACCCAGTTCACAGAGTTGAGCTGCGGCGCTTTCTGTCCCGCAAACGAAAGGCGTCGCGTTCTCGGTACGCTGTAAATTGTCTGTAAAGGGGAAAGAACAGCGGCATGGCCCCGGCGCGTAAAAACTGTACGGACCGGCGCTGGCTCCTGAGCCGTCAGACGCCGTTGTACTGTTGCTGAGGTTTTATTCCCGTTACCCCATTCTCCTTTCTCTGTGCGCCAGAGACGAAAGGTAAGGCACAAATCCTGTGTCTTGGGTGCCCTCGGTCTGCTCAGGTTGATTCCAATTTCGGCGTGGGAGAAATCCCCAGACATTTGCAAGGTCGGAGGTGGGCTCGGGCAAAATAGACTTCTGAACGTTCAAGTGATGTTGGGGCGTACGCAGGCAAGGCGAAGCCAGAGCCCCAGTCTCTGTGGTGCTGTGGATGCAGCGCCAAGGGAGGGTGAGGGCCGGCCAGAGCTTTGGGTGCTGGCACCTTTGGTGTGGGAGGAATGCCCGGACGTTGGCAGTGTCGGAGGTGGGCTCAAGCAAAAAACATGACCGAGTGTGTCAGCTATGTCAGGGTCGTACACAGGCCAGGTGAAGCCAGAGCCCCGGTCTTTGTGGTGCTTTGGATGCACGGCCGAGGGAGGGTGAGGGCCGGCAAGAAATTTGGGTGCTGGCCCCTTTGGTGTGGGAGAAATCCCCGGACATTGGCAAGGTCCGCGCCGGGCTCGGGCAAAAACTGGGGCTGAGCGTGCCCACGACGTCGGGGCCTAGGCAGGCAAGGCAAGCCCACAGGCCCAGTCTCTGTGGTGCCGTGGAAGCGCCGGCAGCGGAGGGTGAGGGCTGGCCAGAGCTTTGGGGGCTGGCACCTTTGGTGGTGGGGTGGTTCTGTATGTTAGGGAGTGTTTTGACTGCATAGAGCTCGACAGTGGTGATGACAAGGTCGAGTACTTATGGGTAAAGATGAGGGGGAAGGCCAGCAAGGCGGATGTCCTGTTGGGAGTCTGCTATAGACCACCCAACCAGGATGTAGAGGTAGATGAGGCGTTGTGGGGTGGATGGATAATATTAGCTATATTAATGACATATTATATATTGTGTCAAGTTTAACACAAGAGACTTAGACCAGCAATAATGCAACAAATGAACTTGGTGCTGGATGCCAAAAAGAACAATTTTTTCTACCTGCACGGGTCTGGGAAAAATTCACACATTTTCAGGTATTTACCTGCCAAGCAGATGCAGACAAACATTTAAAGTCACATTAAGCTCAGCTGGGAGCTTTCATCTCTCTTGTTCCAGGTCACGTAAGACTTTCTGATCGTGGGACACATTGTCACATTCAAAACCTTGATAAAAACAACATTTCCTCCGTGGAAGTGTCTCGTAATGAAGAGAGTCCAACTTCCACTACTACCGCAGGTAACGGAATCAAAATATTTGGGAATCTTTTGCTTTGCTGACCCTGTTTGCAATCACGATGGCCAACACTGACAGTGTGGCCACTGCTCATCCTCTTCTCCCCTCCTCGAGCTGCTCTGTTACACGCGCAGGCATTGCATCCTCGTGGAAGGAAGAGCTGCTGTTCACGTTTGCTTATATCCTAGCATAAAACCTTGAGCTATATATATAAAAAGCTCCAGGGTACAACTTTGACACAACTTTTGTCACTACTTTAGAAATTAACATTGTTTTCACAAAGTTTGCTAACTGTTTAATGCAATGGAACAGCCTGGAGCTACGAAAGATTACGACAAAGACGACTCCTAACAGCAGTACCTGTTTCCGCATTGAAATAACTTTCTGATTATTTTATTTCACTTCGAGGCATAACTGAGGAGTTCATTACAGCACTGGTTTACTTTTGCAGAAGCGTGGGGGGACTGAAAGCGACCGAGACCGAATACGCCCTGCTTGTAGCAGCAACTGTGTCTTTTTCAGGTGAAGCGGGGGGCAACTGGCTGCAGGCGTGCTACGAGCCCTGCCTTGCCCCAGGCGCTGCCCGCAGCCACGCACCGAGCCCTCAGGTGCGGCAGGGCAGGGCAGCGCAGGGCAGGGCT